AGAAGCAACTTTGTCATTTCATTCCATGGAAGGAGCATCATAAATCTTTCCTTTCCCACCAGTTAGCTAGAACTGAAGAAGCTTCTCGGAGGAGAAATGAAATGTCTTCAAGAAAACTCAGGAAAGTCCAGTTGCTGTTTGAAAAAAGCTCCTTTGGGACAACCATGACTTGGATGACTGAGAATCTCCATAGACCTTTCCTGAAAAACACTAGGTAGGATTCTCTTCTTATAGCTTTATGTAGGTATCTCTAGTATTGCATTTATATAGATACTATCACTCTTTGGCAGTATACGTATCCTTTTTTGGCTGCACATGTAAAATTGCCAAGTCTCCTTTTCCAATTCTACTGCAAAATGGAAAGCTGTATAAGCCTTTTCCAATGCTGTTGTCCTAAACTGCGATAGCTCTTACTTGTTATTTCTACAATACTCATATATTCTTTCTAGAATTTTATATGGGATTCTGCATCTTACCTGCTGCATATGTTGATGGTTCTGACTTTCTAGAGCACTTTTTGGACTTTGGACTAGCACTAGGTTGTTTTCCCACTGACTGTCTTTTTCCTGGGAGAAAGACAAGCAATTGTGAGATTTTTCATTTACACCTGAGGAAAAACTCACCTAAATACTGAAGATCCTCAAATTGGCATTAGGGAAAGATAGAAGAAAAAGCAAAACAAACAAACACAGACTGGATCAACTGAGAATCCATCAAAGGAAACAAATATATGTGGTCTCCTAATCTATGCCAAACAGAAAATTGGGAACACCACTCTAACTCACCAGAAATTTTTTGCTTCTTTTTGGGAAGTTGTTTGTAGTCTTCTTCATCATCTTGTTCCATCTTATGCTTTGCCTTGGAGTGGGAATCTCCAGCTTGGGAGAGATACCACGTTAGCTTTTTTAAGTTTATAGATTTAAAAAAGCAAATACGGGTTCAAGACATATGCAACTGTAGCCTAAATGATTTTGTGTATGTGTGCCTTCAAGTCAATGTTGACCTTTGGTGACTTCTTGGACTAGTCCCTATAGCTTCCTTGGCAATATTTTTAGAAGTGTCTTGTCACTTCCTCCTTTGCTACAGCTGAGAGAAAGTGACTAGCCCCAAATCACCTAGGTGGCATCGTGGGTATAGAATTTACAGAGCTAACCCTAACTTTACCATTATAGTAAACCAACTGTCCTAATAAAAACATCAATCAAATAATATCTACTTTTTGTAGTTGTTTACTCAGTCTCTCTTAAAAAGATTGAATTTAACATGAAATAAGACTAATTACGAAGTGGCTTTGCAAAATGCCAAGAAGAAACAATATTATCTGAGCTCATGACTTCAAGTTGGGTCAATTACTTAGCCAGCTAAAGTATCCATTGCTGCAGTTACATTGTAAATAAAACTTTAGGCATAGATCATATTTTCTGCTTCCTTTTATAATCAGACTCTGACATATAATTAAAGCTTAAAATTACTAAATTAAAAAGAAGCAGTTATAGAATATGTCATTTGCACTCAAAGAGAAAGGATGCTATACACCATCTATTTCTACAAGGGACGAATATGATTTTAACAAATCATTAGAAACTTGCAACTCTCTAATCAAGACAGAGCAGGAAAATTTTGATATATTCCAAATAGAGAAGTTTCTTTCTAATTCTAAAGGAGAGACACCAAATATATTTGTTATAATATTATTATTCATTCACTTATGGTTCTAATTTACCACCAGATTACTCCAATGGTTTACAATACATCCAATAAAAACATAACACTAAAAACATAACATATAACTAGTACCTGTTATATATAAATAAAACCTATAAGCTTCATTATGCTCACACTATTAAGTTTTGTTTATCTTCAAAACTCATCCATACCTTTCTTCTCCTCTTCCATAATAGCCTTGACAGAAGGCTTCATCCCTTTCATCTCAAATCAGTACCTGGCCCATGAATGACTTCATTATGTCCAAGACCTGACCCTCTACTTGCTGGCTCTGAGAAGAAGAGAAAGCATCACTATTCATATAGTACCTCATCAAGCCACACATAAATCTGGCAGGTGCGATTTGCACATGCTAAGCTTCATCACTTTTAATATTGGTCTGCTTTTTTGAGTTCTGCTGAGTATGGAACTAAACCCATGTGATCCACTTGTGGTTCAATTTATCATGCAAGCTCAGAAAATGGTTTAATTCAATAACTAGTAAAACATTGCAGCCAAATGTCAAAATAACTTCAGGTGATAATCAGTATGTTTGTTATTAGAAAGAGCATATAAGCAAAAATTATAAGAGAAGTTGAGTTCACAAGTCCGTTACTTCCTTGGTGACTTCAAAAAATCCTTTGCATCGCATTCCCCCCACCCCCAATGAAGCAACTGATTTCAAACTAAGTAGCACCTTGAACTGGAGCTAAAGTTAAATAAATGCAGTTTTCTTCAGAACTGATACATACTGTAATCCTTGAAATGAGAGAGGTCTTTTAACACAGAGTCCCATCCCCTATTCAACAGATATAAATCATCTGGTTACATGTAGATCTTAACCTTAATATTTAACGTATTTTTTTAACAATGTATTTTACTGGCAATTTTGGAAGGGCGTGGAATTTGAGCTTTGGTAGCCATGATTGGTTTCGTTAACTAAGTTTTTTCTAAATTTTTACTGTACAAAGGCATGTAATTATTGGTTATCTTAAGTTTTAATTATTTTTCAACTGGCTACAAAAGGCAAACTATGAAAGTTATCATTATGAACAGAGGAAGGTAGACTCAGTCTTCAATCCTTCCAAAATCAGTAAAATGAGCTCCCAGATTGTTGGGGGGCAATATGCTGGCTCTGTAAACCGTAGAGAGAGCTATAAAGCAGTATATAAGTCTAAGTGCTATTGCTATATTGCTAATATAAAATGAAAGCATTCCTAACAGACAGCTATCCAGCCTCCACCTGAACACATCCAATGATTACTCCATTTATTTTGTGCCAGTGTTTCTCAACCTTGGCAGCTTGAAGATGGGTGTATTTCAACTCCCAGAATCCCCCTGCCAGGCTAGCTGGTGAGTCCACCCACCTTCTGGGAGTTGAAGTCTACCCACCTTAAAGGTGCTGAGGTGAGAAACACTGTTCTATGCACATTACCTAAAATTTTGAGAGAAATTTTAAATTTGTGATAGAAGAACCACTTTGATGGACTGGATAATGCATCAGGATGGAAATGGGGAGACCATGAATTTTAATTCCGCTTTTAGGCGCAAAGCCACCTGGAGTAACCTTGGGACAGTCACACTCTCTGAGCCCTAGGAAAGAAACACAGGTAGTCCTCGACTTACAAACGCAATTGTGCCCCAAAATTATGTTGCCAAGTGAGATATTTGTTAGGGTTAGGGTGAGTTTTGCCCCCATTTTACGACCTTTCTTGCCATACTTGTTAAGTGAATCACTGCAGTTCATAAGTTAGCAACTCACTTGTTAAGTGAACCTGGCTTCCCCCTTACAAAAGGTGATCCCATGACTCCGGGACTGCAACTGCAACCGTTGTAAATATGAACCAGGTGCCAAGCCTCTGAATTTTGATGACATGATCGATCTGCAAAAGTCGGAACTGTGACAAACGGTCATCAATCCCGTTTTCCAGTGGCACTTTTGAACGGCCACTAAACGAACGGTTGTAAGCCGAGGACGACCTGTAAGCGCAAACCACTTCCGGAAAAACCTTCCCACACACACACACACACACGCGCGCACACACAAACTGCAGGCGGAGCCTTAGGAATCAAAACCGACCCGAAGGCACAAAATAACGCAGCGTAAATAATACATTTATAGACCCCAAAGCTGCCGAAACCCAACAGCAGGCTAATAATTGAGTTAACTAAGTAAATAGGCGGGAAACGTACCGACGCCCTCAGTCCCTAACCGAAGAGGGGAAAACACCGCGGAAACCGACGGTTCCTCCCAGGGCAGAACGAATGGGCGGCCGGCTTAAACGACGCAATCTTCCTTCGCTCCCAAAGGGCCACGAGCCTCGCTCTCTCCAACGGACCCCCTCGCTGTAGGCAACGGCGGAGCTCCGACCGCCTTCCCAGCAGCCGGCCGTATGACTCACCTTTGCGACAGGTTGCTTCCCTTGCGCGGCGATCCGGCGCGGGATCCCGAGATCAAGGAAGCGGGACCTTCGCTCGAGGAGCCACGCAAAAGGAGGCGGTCCTTTAAACAGCACCCAGCCCGACCGGGTTCCTCCCCTTCGAGCCTCAGAGGAAGCGGAAAGGCGAGAGGCGATTGTTTCCCCTTCCTGGTTGCCTAGGTGACGCAAAGTTTCACTTACGCAGGGCACGCCGCCGAGAACATCCTTTCTGTTCCGCCGCGGCCTTTTCTTTAGACTGGGGACTCTTACGATTAGAAACCCCCTCCGTGACGATGGCGCATTATAATCGCCCACTCTAGCTATCGCCGCTCTATGTCGGAAAGGATTGGTGGGTCAAAGTTCATCAGGAGCACTGTGCGGGGGTGGGGAAACGATGGCCCTTTAATGGCTTGTGGACTTCAACTCCCAGAATTCCTGATCCGCAGGCTAGCTCAGGAATTCTGGGAGTTGAAGTTCCACGAGTCGATAATAGGGCCATCGTTCCCCCGTCCTTGTGCTGTAAACAGAGGAAAGGCGGAACGGCTGTTATCGCCTGTCAGGGAAAAAGGAGGCGTAGCAAGACTCGAGCCGGTGCCATGACTCGAGCCGGTCCGGGTGGCATCTTTGAAAAGGTTCTCTAAGGGACGGTACAGGGTATAAGAACAATATGACGGGATTGTTGTTCGGCAGCCTAATTTTTCGAGAGGAGAAGCCCGTTCAGTGAAAGGTGTTGAGGAAAACTATTCGAATAGTTCCCATGCTCCACCAATGGAGGCGATGTCTATGGAGTCGTTCTTTTCCAATTTCTCTCTCTCTTTTGGCATCTCTATGGTCAAAAGCTTGGCTTCCTTTACTTTTTTTTTTTTTTTTTTTTTTTGAGCAAGAGAAAGCCCCGGAAGTCAAAGAAAGCGGATGAGACGGCGGCAAAATGGCAGCTGCCGGTGGGGCAGCGAGTTCTGCATCCGGAGCCCCAATATGCGTCCTGGTGCTGGGAATGGCTGGCTCTGGCAAGACGGCCCTGGTGCAGGTGCGGGGCGGAGCGGGAAGGGGATCGACCGGGGGGGGGGGGGAAGGAGGCTCTTAAGAGGGCTGCTTGGTCCCCTTGCTGGCTTCTTTTGAGCTGACCTACGGTTTGTTTTCCATAGAGACTGATTGCCTCCCTGCATAGTAAGAATTCTCCTCCGTATGTCATCAATCTGGATCCCGCAGTTTACGAGCTGCCTTTCCAGGCCAATATCGGTGAGCACCTACGGTGGTTGTCTACGTACTTTGCCAGAGTTATTTTCTTCAGAAAAATATGAGAGTATTTATTAGGGTTTTTTGCTATAAAGCACAAACATGTAAATCTTTGGTTCAGGGTGAAATTTAGGGACTGCAGATGTCCAAGCAACTGCACTGTGTGTGTAAGCTGCCACACGTTTAGCCCATATGGCCACCTATGTGGAGATGGTGGCTCCTTCACCTTCCCCCAATTGTAGGTGCCATAGATCCAGTAGAGAGTGTCCCACACAAGGATGCTATTATTCCAAGTACCTTCACTATTGCCAACTGAATGAGGTTGCTGTAAGTGTAAGATGTGAGAAGGTGAATAGATTTCCTTATGATTGCAGAGCACAGTTGAAGTGGCTCAGGATTTGCAGGCTTGTTCTGTATATAACAAAGGAATAAATGGTAGATTTTATTCTATTTTAAGGAATTGATTACATTGAACTGGATCACAATAATATGAATTGATGACGACTTCATCTATAGTCTAATGTTAATTTTAAATCTTTGTTGAAAGTTGCTTAGGATGGATTGGAAATCTGTATGTTTAGATTATGATTTCCACATTTACTTGATGTGAAATTACCCAGAGCAAGGGTGTCAGGCTGGCGGCCCATAGGCCAGATACGTCACACGCAGGCCATGCCCACTGCAGCTCTGCAAAGGCAAAAAATGTTGCGATATGCCACATGACGCGATCAAGTTTGACACCCATGACCTAGGGAGTCTTAAGGAAACATTAGAGCTGCACTTAAGATGATGAACAAGTGTTGAGAAAGTAGGAAAAATTGGGGAGGGTGTTAAATTTAAAAGTAAATTATGTTCTGTTAATTCAAGCAGAACAGTAAAGCAACAATAAGATATGTTATATAAGATAACAATAAGATATGTTCCTTCTAAATTTGTTTTAAAATTAGGCTTCGTATAATTTCCATCCTGTTTTCCTTTTTTTTTAAAAGATATCCGGGACACAGTGAATTACAAAGAAGTCATGAAGCAGTATCCTTGCCTTATTTGGCTATTTCTTCAAAATGTAGCATTATCACTTTATTTATTTGTGTGTATATTGCTGTATGTGCATGTTGTTCCATTCATGTCTGACTCTATAGTATAGCTTTCTGTTGATCTCTTGTGGCATTGCGTTGGGGAATATGCTGACCCAATGAATTGGATTTCTTCAACTTTTCCTGACCTAGCTCCAGATATGCGCTGGGCCCAAACGGTGGCATTGTGACATCCCTCAATCTTTTTGCTACAAGATTTGACCAGGTACATGTTTGCTTAACTGATTTTGCTGGTATACAGTATACAATATCGGTAAGCTGATGAATATTCTTTTCTGAAAATTTCAGTATTCTGGGTTATATTTAGCAATAGCAAAGTTTTCCCATTGAGCTATACAGCACACACTATAAACAGTTTGATAACCCAAGGGATTGTGGGTTGTCTGGTCATTGCTGAAGTTTGGAGAAGTTAACTGCCAATGTTTCCATCCTTTCGAGGTCGGTAAAATGAGGACCCAAATTGTTAGGAGCATACTGACTCTCTAAACCACATAGAGAGGAGCTATAAAGCATTGTGAAGTGGTATATAAATCTAATTGCTATAGCTGCAAATTGAAGAATGTCACTACAGTAATTTTGTGATACTAAGAGCCCTTTGCTTTAGTAGCTCTTCTGCAAACTCCAGTTTTATTTCTGTATGCAAACTGTATTTTCTCTTTAATTTTTATCAGGTGATGAAGTTCATTGAAAAAAGACAGACTGCATCCCAGTGAGTCAATGATAAATCTGATGCTGGGAGGAAGGGGGTGGCCACTGGCAGGCCCCTTTTTAAGAAGGGACATATATGCATTCCTTATATTAAATAGACCTGCCTTACATAGGAAAAGTTGCCTTTTTTCCCCTTATAGATCTTGTTAACATTATCTTAGTTTTTAACCTGTGCAACTCACAAAACGATAAAATGACACAACAATAAATTAGAAGAAATAATCAGGTGATATTACTCAGAATCCTAGGTCTAAAATTAGAATTTAAAATACCTATTATGTCAAAAGCCTACTGGATGGGTATATCAAAGGGAGCCAGAGTTCTAAAACTAGGACATGGTGATTTAAAAAAATTGTGTTCAGCAGTATTTTAAAATGAGATTCAAATACTGGCAAAGCATGTGTCAAGTTGTCTTTGGAAAAGAAGTAGTCCAGCAGTCAATTGTGATGACTTAATAAGTGGTGGGGTTCTCCAACCTTTTTGGAAAGCTATGGATACATATGAAATTATGAAAATTATTGTATATTCAGTCACAAAATACTGAGTAGTCCCACATTTTTTTCCTCACACAGGTGAGGTAAACATTTGGTTGGGTTTTGTGTGTGTGTGTGTGTGTGATTTGGAATATTTTGAAATGAGTTTCAATTCCTAAATGAATAAAAAAAGATTTAAACAGGGCTGAAGTGGCAAATGGCATATTTTAGAAATATTCCTTTGAGCAACTAATTATGCCTTATCTCTCCTAAATCTCTTGAACTAAAATGGTCATTTACATTAATTTGATAAGGAAAATGGTTCACAAATTCATCCTTTGTTTTGAAAAGGAAATAATTAAACCTGGACTCAGCTCTTGTCTGTGTGGGTAGTGGCTCTGGCTTGAATTTCAGAAACAGAAACAAACAAGTACATACTGCTGTCTTTATGAAGACATAAATTGTTTTCTGTATATTCTGAGTGTGTGTGAGAACAAATCTTTTCTCTTGCAGGTATGTCCTAATAGATACACCTGGGCAGATTGAAGTGTTTACTTGGTCTGCCTCTGGCACTATCATCACAGAAGCCCTGGTTAGTGACTTCTATTCATCTGATGTTGGGAGTTAATTAAGGATGAGGGAAACACTCTTTGCTTTGTTAACAATAATCCTAATATGTCTATTTAGGCTTCCTCTTTCCCATCGGTAGTGGTTTATGTGATGGACACATCTCGCAGCACTAATCCTGTTACCTTCATGTCTAACATGCTGTATGCTTGCAGGTAGGAGGTACTTTCCCACTTTCCTTACAATTCCTCTTTGTGGGATAAAGATTTGGGTTTTTTAAAAAATTCTAATGTAGTTCTTGTTCTCACAGACTTTTATTTACATGTACCAATTGCTTTCCCAGCACAAACATTCACTGTATTTAATTGGTTTATATCTGGTTTCCTAAACAAAAATGTAAATCACCTTACAACAGGGTATGTTATAAATTTAAAAGCCAGGGAAAATTCAAGCATCTCCACCAGGAAAGCTGATTTCAAAGGGGTATGTGTGTGTTACTCAGAGTGTGTGCTGCCTCCAAAAGCTCCTACTTGTTCCTACTTTCCTTTGTCTTTTGCTGTGTATAATCTTTTATTTCATATCATTTTTCCTTTTTTGTTTATGTTTCTGTAGTTTTGAATGGTGTGCAAAATTCTTTTTCAGTAAAAGTATTAAAGCAACAATGCCTTAGGCCACCTTTTTATCTCTGATCATCCACTCTTTTTTCAGCATCCTATACAAAACGAAGCTCCCATTCATAGTGGTCATGAACAAGGTGAGTGGGGTGTTCCATAATCCACTACATGCTAGATATCAGTGAGACCATCTTTTAATATTAAATCAACACAGTCTGTCTGCCCTACCTTCTTGTTTCTCTCTCTTTTTTTTTAAGTGAAGGCTTCCTATTCAAACTCAACACCTGATGAGGATGTGGGGTTGTCTGTATAGTTTTCACAGCATAATAGATGTGCTATAGCCTTGTTCCACAATTGGGGGGGGGGAAATCTTCACTTCCATTTTAATTGTAGCTGTGGGATTTCCAGGTTGTCTCCCATTGAAATATTGACCAGATTAAGTCCTGTTTAACTTTTTTGGGATCAGCTAAATTCAGTTAAAATGCTGCCACTTGCTTTGGCTTTTCTGTTCAAAGAAGCAATAAAGAATGTAAGGATAAATTGTGATATCCAATTTATATTTAGGGTATGATATTATATTGTTGTTACTCACATTTTCTGCTATCTCCCAAGAAAAAAAAATAGTTTTGAAGAGAAATTACATAGTTAAAATGGCAAACAGTTCAGTAAATACAAAACGAGTTGGATGTCTTACACCATTGGGATCTCATCGATATTGAGTAATTGGGACAATCCCCTTGAGATTGTTTTGGACATCTTTATGAAATGTCAACAATATATAAATACCGTGAAAAGGCCAGATTCCAACATTTAGGGAACATTTGAGCAGGGACAGAAAATTAAGCTGTCAGTAACACAATGTTGCGTAAGAACATTTGAGGGACCATCACATCCCAGTGGGATTGGCCCACCACACCTGTGCTGGCAGTGAAGGCATGCTGCAGGCCCCATTGGCCAGGGTATTCCTGCAGGCAGGGTTTAGGAGAAGAGCCTTCTCTACCATTGCTCTTGCTCCCCTGGAGTGAGCTCCAGTCCTCCTGACCTTTCACAAGAGCTTAAAGACCTGGTTCTGCCAGTTGGCTTGGGGAGGGAGCTTCACATGGGGGAGTGGTTGACAGATTAAATACAAAGACCACCTCCCCCCCCCGCCCCGCTCATCCCACTTCCTTCCCATCTTTAGTTAGGGTTGAGTATATTTTTATAATATTTGGTTTGTATTGTGTATACATTTTATATAATTTTATCCTTTTACTATTGTAAACCACCAAGAGTTACCCTGTGGTAAGATGGGCAGCCAATGAATTTAATAATTTTTTTAAAAATATGAAATACTGTATTCAATCCATCCATCCATCTCATAAGGCATATTGAAGCTCTGAAAAAAAATGTTGAGAATGATGCTAAAATGATTGATCAAGTATCTGAAGAACCCAGGTTTAGATATAATTAGAGCCCTGAAAGTTTGCTGAGTCACTGACTTTATATTCCAATAAAATCTGCTGAGATTCTCAACCATTAATCTTAAGTGCTGTCCTTTGGGGCACAGAGGCAAAGTTTTCCGATGTCAATCCTTCCAGTGGTTTAATTTTGCTTCTCCTGATTGTGCTGAATAATCTTCCCAGTATCTTATTTATGTTCCTCAGAACGTGTTGTTTCCTTCTTAAAAGATAAAGTTTTGAATTGATCACAGTAGTTCATAGGTTGCCTATTGGGTTTTTGATAATACTGCTGTCTTTCATTTCCTATCATGGTTTTTCTGTGCAAATGAAATGAAGAGCCATCAGTCTGCTTTCCCTACCACTTCTAGAAAATCAGCAGTTATGATGAGGTCATTGATCCTTGTTCCTGGGCCTGTAGGTAAAAAGGTATAATGGATAAGATTCTGGCAAGACTTCTTTGGCAGGAGCTGTTTCTATATTCTATGTTTTGCTTAAATGTATATAAGTATACACCCTATCTATTTTTCTTTCTCAATTCAGACAGACATCATTGACCATAGCTTTGCACTTGAATGGATGCAGGACTTTGAAGCTTTTCAAGATGCCCTCAGTCAGGAAACCAGCTATGCCAGTAATTTAACTCGCTCTATGAGTCTTGTTTTAGATGAGTTCTACAACTCACTTCAGGTGGGTGCTCTCTTTTGCACTGCAAAGGGTGCAGTATATTTTGTCTGCAGGCTGGTTTGTTAAAAACGTTATTAAGTAATTACAGTTTTTGATGCTGAATGGAAAGAGATAGGTTGAAGTTAAGCAAGTCAAGTAAGATAGAGCTTTTATTCATTTAAGTCCACATTTCTAAAGCCATCCAATTTGTCAACAACTTTCTCTTGTAGGTGGTGGGTGTTTCCGCTGTACAGGGAACAGGGATGGATGAGTTTTTTGAACATTTATCCAAAGCTGTTGATGAATATGAAAGGTGAGTCTTCTTCAGGAAAGGAAGAAAAATAGCAAGAGTAACCTGACACGCTGTGCATTATCTCTGAGGAATATCTGAGTTTTGGGACATACTGAATTTGAATAAGATACTTTTTCAAAAGGCAATCAGATTTTCTTTGTTTTTCCTTGAAAGACATTTCACTTCTCACCCAAGAAGCTTCATTGGTTGTGGCAGGATGGTAAGGAGATGGAAGGATTAGTTCTGAAAAGATGGGGGCCGGGGGGGGGGGGGAAAGGAAGGGTCATATTTCTTTGCAGTCATTTGGTCATTACCACTCTCTGAGAGCCATTGAGGCCACTTGGGATTTTATCTGTGCCCTTAGGTCACCTGAATCAGAGTGCAAATGGGAATTTGCACTCTGCAAACCTCAAACTGAATTTGAGGTTGCCTCGAAACTCTAGAAAGAGCCAGTTTGGTGTAGTGATTAAGGCATCAGGCTAGAAACTGGGAGATTGTGGAGTTCTAGTTCTATCTTAGGAACAGAGGCATCTGGATGACCTTGGGCCAGTCAAATTGTGTCAGCCCCAGGAAGGAAGCAATGGCAAACTATTTCCAAAAAAACTTGCCAAGAAAACTGTAGGGACAAGTCCAGGCAGTCACCAGAAGTCATACTGACTCAAAGGCACAAAAAGAAAGAAAGAAAGAGTTTAGGCAAATAATGCTTCCAATTATTTGTACTCTATGGATATACTAGGTTTCACAAAAATCTTCAGAAATCAATTATTTGCTGTTTGTGTTAGAGACTTCAACTGTTAACCAGTTCCATATCACATCTTTTGATGTACTGTACAGTAGGCAGAGTCAATGGGTATTCACGGGGCACCACAAAATAATTCATTCTTGGAGCAGATATTAGGCTTATAAGAAAAATTTCCTCTCTTTTTAGCATTAAATAAAACTGCAAGTACATACACTGATTAAGACTGATTACTTGTAACAGTGATGTCTGTTCAGGACTGCTGACCATGTGAGAAGAACCTTTTTATATGAAATGGTTTTTAATGGTTTGTAAAATGTCTAGAGTTGCCACCAGATGAGATGGGCAGCAGCATATACTTTAAACAAGTAAAGCCCCTTTTTTTCTTCTTCCAGAGAATATCGACCAGAATATGAGCGTCTAAGAAAGCAATTGGTAAGTACATGCATATACTTTGATGCTCTGGGCTGTATTGATATAAGCCCTCCCACCCCAATTGTGCTGCTGGATGTTGGAGAGCAATTGCCCCAGCTGGAAGGAGGGCTCAAGCGGGGAATTAGCTTGTATTTGCCATATAAACATAAGAGGTCTGAAACACACACACACACACATATCACTCAAACACCTTTGAGCTTTATCTGGTCTTTCCCAGACAAAAGCTGCCAGTCTGGGGAGATTCTGTATGATAGGAAAAGAACCACTGAGTAGCTAGTTTGAACTCTACATGGGTCTGGTTGTTCACATCTGACACTGGAGTTCTAAAAGGTCCCAAAGGTGCTTTTTTTTCAAGAGGCAACCTGACTTCCTGGTTTTTCTTTGAAGACGTTTCACTTCTCATCCAAGAAGCTTCTTCAGCTCCCATTGTCAGCAGCAACAATTCTGTCACCTACAACATTGCAAAACCATCTTATTAGCTCCTCTAGTTGGCAACACATCTTCAAAGAAAAACCAGGAAGTCCAGTTGCCCCTTGAAAAAGCCCCTTTGGGACAACCATGACCTGGAATGACTGAGAGTCTCCATATACAGCTCCAAAAGGCATTTCTTCAGCTGTAAATACTAATTCACCTATCAGACGATAAAAGAAATGGGGGGGGGGGGCAGGAAATCCTAGGACTGATGAAGAAATCAAAATCCCTGAGAGTATAGGCCCAGAAGCCTTTCTTTTTCCATTGTTAAGTGAATTCAAAGCAGTGATTTGGGTTAATGTACAATTATGTAAGAACCTAGATCTCTTTTCTATGAATAATAAAAAGATAACGGTAAGCAGTTATTTACTAATTCATGACATGTTGACATGACATGCCTGAACATACTAAACCACAATTTGCTTCAGGGTTGACACAGTTCTTCATTTAATGTAGATTTATTAAATAAACCTAATTAGCTAAGTTTGAACAATACTGTAAACCCAAAATCAAAGTAACATGCTTAATTGAAGTACGTGAGGTAAGTCTGTGTTTCTCGCTATTTCTCACTGGCAAGTCCCTAAGCTTTCCATACATCTTCCTTCTTACTCTTAGTCCTTAAGGCAGGGTTGGATTTCTGTTCATTTTTTGCCTCTTCTGAAAGGGGATGGGATATAATTACAACTTAAAGCATCCTCTGAGGGGCCAAGAGAATTTTAATTAAAATTAAGAAGCTTGGAGGTAATCTGAAAACTACATTCATGTCATATTACGTTCCAATGTGAGAGCAAATTGGGATACAAATGCATAGAGAAAAAAACGTGTTATTGGAATGCTCTCTCTTCATTTACAGGAAAGAGCTCAGAAGCAGCAGCAGGAAGAACAACTGAAAAGTTTACGGAGAGATATGGGGCCTGTTGCCATGGAGAACAGCCCAGCAGTTTCAGGTACAGGAGAATCTCCACAGAGACAGAGACTGTCCCTGGGAAGTATTTGTAAGCTTCAGCTGGTACAGAATACTGTGCTATGGGCAATTATGTGCACTCCTAGAACAGCATGTTATTACACTTCTACTATGTGAGCTGCGTTGGCTGCCAGTTTGCTTCCAGGTCCAATTCAAGGTGCCGCTTTTAAACTTTAAAGTCCTACATGGTATGGGATCAGGTTCTCTGAAGGACTGCATCTCCCTAGTTATATCAGCCCCTTCCCCCCAGCAGATCTGGCATGGTGTGGCTCCCATTAACTAAGGTCCCACTACATTTGGTCGGCCCCAAGAGATGTGCCATCTCTGCCATGGCGGCTGCCTAATAGAACATCCTTTCCCTCAAAATTAGATTAGCTCCATTTCTTTTGATAGGCCTCAAGACCTTGTTATGTTATTGGGCCTGGGGCTCCCAAGGTACAGGAGGCTTGCTGACATGGCTCAAATGCTGTGATGGGCATTTTTATCCCTCTCATCACCTAGGGTTTGTATCTTTTTTTTTTTTAATAATATTTATGAGCATGGATCCTTATATCGGTAATTTTTTACATTATTTTATTTTGCTGTGTGCTGTCCACTTTTGGTGAGATGGACACCTATGTAACTTTGATTAATAAACAAGCCAACAAACCATTGAGCAGTATTTAGAAGTATGTTCAGTTTCATAGCTGGCATCATTTTATCTGCTCCACTAAATATTTGAGGATATACAGTAATCGATATGGGAAATAGTTTGGTTTCACAGAGAAGCACAGAAGAAGAAAAAGAAGGGCTGCTGGTAGAATTTGTATGCACTGGCTTACTTTTGGCACTTACCTAGAGGATATGGCACCTCATCTGGCAAGGTATTATGCTATAGCTATAGGCCTAAGCAACTGTTGTTGCTTCCTTGCTAAATTTCTAAAAGCTGCCCAGAGCCCTCATTTAGGCATCACGTTTATACACCGTCTTCTGACCTTGTAGAGTTTGAAGAACTCCTGGCATGGAACTCCTAGACAAGGTGTTCATCCTCCTGCACGGGAAGAAATTGAAAAATTGCTTTTTGGTTTGATTTTGGTCCAAAGGTTCAGTGGCAGAATCTTCATTAGGCCCATCAGAACTGATTTTGACCCGAGGAACTTTGGATCCAGAAGAGGAGGAGGAAGAGGCCCAAGATAGTGATACTGATGACATTGATCATAAAGGTAATTAAAGCTCTGAAGGATTAGGAGGAATTAAAAATTGCAAGAGGCAAGCCAAGAGGGAGAGTGGCAACATTTTTCCATCAGTTGCGTTATATGGAGTTCCTAACAGTAATTAAAGCCCACTTATGGCATAGGTCCAGGATATCTGGGATTGGGATTAACCTGCCTCAAGGTCCTACTTTGTATCCCATTGGCTCCAGCTTTTTGGCTGGGGGAGTCCAGATGAAGAGCCTTTTCTGCTAGGGCCCTTGCCTTCTGGAATATTCTCCTATCCGAGGTGGGCTCCGTCTAAAAACTTGGCTCTGCTACTTGGCCTGGGCCCCCAACAGGGACCTACTATACTGGGAGCGGCTGATGGGATAGTGAAAATTCTCTGCCCCATGCTGCCCATCATCTTGGCTTTTAATTTTTAACTTTTAATTTTAATTCTTTTTTTTACACTTTTTAACTTTTATTGTAAGCTGCCCAGAGTTACTGCATTAGAAAGATGGGTAGCGTAGAAATTCAGTAAATAAAAACTCTGTTTTGTATTCATTGTACAATCCAGCAAAGGATTATGGTGATGCTGAATGTCTATATAGATTCTCAATCACCCAGGTCATGGTTGTCCCAAAGGTGCATTTTCAAGAAACAACTGGATTTTCTGGTTTTTCTTTGAAGACATTTCACTTCTCATCCAAGAGGCTTCTTCAGCTCTGACTGGATGGTGGAGAATAGGAATGGGATTCCCCACCATCCAGTCAGAGCTGAAGAAGCTTCTTGGATGAGAAGCGAAATGTCTTCAAAAAAACCTAGAAAGTCCAGTTCCCTCCTGAAAAAAACACCTTTGGGACATGGTGATGCTGATTTCTATGAGGGCCTTTTGGGTCCTAAGGCATTAGTGAGACTCACTTTGCTAACACATCTCGTCTGTTTTCTGCTATAGTGACCGAGGAAAGCCATGAAGAACCTGCCTTCCAAAACTTCTTGCAAGAAGCTAAGCTGCACTATTCGACCAGAAGCAACCAGTAGAAGAGAACAAGGACAGGTGCATGTTTGGACACAGAAACAGAAGAACCCAGAACATATGAAACAGTCCCAACTCTTTAGCATCTATGGCAGTCGTTCTGGTCCCCTTGACTCAAGGCCACCGAGTTCTTTCTATGGCAACTTTTTTCAGTGAGAGACTAAAGCAGAACTGGACGGTCATTTTCACAGATGACACATAATCACTTCTTGGCAAAAGAAATATGACTTTGAGCGATCTTGTCTCTGTTGTGAATTTTACCTATCATGTATGTTTCTGTTTTGTAAATTATTAGCAAATATCTATTCTGCTACATGTTCGTGGTGGATGACCTTTTCTTCTAGCTTAGTTTTTGGCACTTCCCTTTTTTCCCACCTGTATATGCTGGAATAAGAGAAGAGACACAACTGGCATGGAAGCTTAGAGACATCAAGAACATGAGATGAGATGAGGGGTCAGTTTGCTAAGCAGTTTGAGGGTGCATTCACTGAAAAACAACAACACAAAGAAGGCTGGAAAATTACTTCTGGTCATGTGGGGTGCCTGTACATCCTCACCCATTCACATGGAGATGCAGAGTTCTTCCAAAAACTACTGTAAATACAAACATAAAATACTCCTGTTGGATTCTGTTAAAAAGCAGATGGGGCAGGATTTTTTTCTCTGTAATGGCTATCTAAAAAACTTCATATTCTGACCCACAAAGTCATAGAAGTAGGTAAAAGTCCCTTTAATACCTCCAACTTGGCCCCCAATGTCCAGTTATCATTGGCTGGAGAAAAAACTCTCCCAAGAACAGTTTTTAAAGGGAGGAAATTCAGTCCGAACCCAAAGTAGATATAAATTATAAATAAAAACCAACAAACCACACTGCAGCAATTAACGAGACAGGGCAGGATAAGGAACTGAAGATTTCAAAAGATAACGAAACACACAGTTGGGAGGATGCCAGAACCCAGATAAGACTTGACAAACCAAAATAATTCACGCTTTGCTTCTAGCAAGGTGCTGTGTGCAAATGCCCTTTTTAAATCCTGTTTTCTCAGCTGCAGCTAATGAATCAGGGCCTTTTTCTCCCCCATAATCCACGTAACTCACCTTGCTCCCTTCTCTGTTCCTCCCTGCATGCCCTAGGATAAAGAGGGGCTGGATCTTCCTCTGAATGCCCAGCAGGACTGTCCTTCCCCAGTTTTTTCCACAACCACAGGAGCCACGCTCCCACTCCCTGTCAGCTGCTGGACCTCCCCCTTGGAATCAGATTCCAATGGGCATGACAGCCAGCCACCACACAAAAACTAACACTACTATACACAAAAAGGATGTAGGAAATGAGAGCCAGAATTCTCCAACCTTTCAGAATAGCAATAGCCCACACTCACACTCCGCCAGTCATTATCCAGAACCAAAGACAAGTATAGGATAAAAGGATAAAAGAAACAACGTTTCTACAAAATCAACTGTAACCAATGCAACCAGTTCTATGTGGGACAAACATCACGTCTGTTAAAAACAGGATCCACGAACATCGACTGACAGTCAAATGCCATGATCCCAAATCCTTTATCTCTACCCACACCGACATCAAACAGCACCAGTTCGATTGGAGCAACACAAAAACCATCGGCTACGTTACCACCCGCCACACTCGTGAGTTCATCAAAGCCTGGCACTCCACAAGCAATTCCACCAACAGACACATAGACCTACAACCACCCTACGACCCCTCCCCCACAGGACTCCAAATCAACCGCACAGCTAACCAGAGACAGCACTGGCACTCAACCAAATCCAGGCAAGCCCTCCCCGCCAGCCCTTCTTCTGATGTAAACCTCCCCATCACAAGATCCACCCCAAAACTGTAACCTGATGACTCACACCTGACCCATCCCTAGACCGTCACTTGACACACCCACACCTGACCCATCCCAAGACCTACTGACCACATGAAGCCCTTATAAACGGAAGAACACTGACATCACCTAAACTCCGAAGATATTGCCCAGCCTGGTAATGAAACATTCACAACCCACAAAGCTGGGAGAATGAACCCTCACCCTCCTTTTTAGAGGCTGCTTGCTCCTGGTAGAAGTGGCGATCCAGCTGACATCCTGGGTGACTTTGCAGGGCCAGCGAGGAGCAGCTGGCTCTCAGTAGCGCCACTTGTCTCCTGGTAGCGTACCTCCTTGTGACCCAGAAACGTTCCCTCTGGACACATTGCGGTTTAGAGCCACTAAGGAGAGATGCTGATACGGAGAAGGTAAGCCTTAGAGCTAGATACTGTTGACTGCCCCCTACCTCAACAAGGGGAACTCCTGGAGACCCTAGGAGAGAGAGGAGCAAAACCCAAAGGACCAGGAGGAGGCCAGCAGCCCAGAGCAGCCCATTTCTTGTCCCTGCAGCTTAGAGACCTTCCAGAGGGTCCCTATAGCCGCCTGAGCACACGGGGTGCCAGCAAGACCTGGCGAGAGCGTTTGTCTGGGCCCGGAGGGAAGGTGCTTCTCCTTGCCGTCTCCCGTGCGCTGATGGCCTCTCTCCCCGTCTCCGAAATAGAAGCGTTGGGCGCGGTTATCCGGCTGCCGGTGGCCGGGTTAGGGCTTTCCTGAGGTGGAGACCAGAGACGGTTCCCGAAGGAAACCGGGCTGTAAGAGTGCTGGCTTGGGACTGAGAACTTCTGCAACGAACCCCACCTCTGCTGCATCCCAACAAGGACAGGCTGCGTCTCTATTCCCCACCCCACCCCAAACTCCGGAGAGGACAAGCCTGGTGCAGCAGCTCCTCGGAGAGAAAACCTCCCGGCCGCGCCCCCCGCCCCCCCAACATCCTTCTGGGCCGGGACTTGCCGAGAGCAAGAAGAATCAGGTGCGGGGGTGGGGAGGGGAGAGGCGATCCCTAACCCAGCCCTCCCCCGTTGCAGGCGATCCCTTCGAGTCTTCGCATCCCGCCTCAAAGGGCACTTGCTGTTTCCATCTCACCATCCAAGGGCCTCGCATCTGATCCTAATTTCAGCTTCGCGCCCTTTAGCCTGCTCTCCCTCCTCTTATTCCGTGACTTTTCTTGGTCAAAATCCTCGAGGGGAAGGGGGGGGGAGGAGGGGTGGAAGGGGAATGCCAAAAGCGTTTTGGACAAGATCAGGTGTAGTATTAGTACCGCTTTATAAAGCCCTGGTAAGACCACACCTGGAACCAATTTTGGTCACTGTGCTACCAAAAAAAAAAAAAGATGTTTGAGATTTTGGAACTAGTTCAGAGAAGAGCAACTAAGATGATCAAGGGCCTGGAGACTAAAAACATAGGAAGAAGGGCTGCAGGATTTGGGTTTGGCTAGTCTAGAGGGGAAAAAAAGGATTAGGGGTGACACGATAGTGCTCTTGCAATATTTGAGGGGCTGCCACAAAGAAGAGAGGGGTCAAATTATTCTCTGAAGCACCAGAGGGCAGGACAAGAAACAGTGGTTGGAAACTAATCAAAGAGAGAAGCAACCTTGAATTAATGATAAATTTCCTAATAATGAGGACAATTAACCAATGGAACAACTTGCCTTCAGAAATCGTGGGTGCTTCCATCACTGGAGGTTTTTAAGAAGAGACTGGACAGTCACTTGTCTGAAATGGCCCTCCTGCTTGAGCAGGGGGCTGGACTAGAAGACCTCTAAAGTCCCTTCCAGATTCTATTCTATTCCATTCCATTCCATTCTATATGTTCTGGTACATTACGGCTACCAGACAACCTCACATAGTTGTTAACATTTTACATACACACACAAAAGCAAACAAATCACACCACCTCCAATGATTCATGAGAAAAGATTGATCCTTTGCAAAAGCCATAGTGAATATTTCAGAACCATGAGTGGATTCACGCAACACTGCAAGCCCCTGTTTTAACAATATGGTTGTGTTCAAACAGCATGGTATTTCCACCTGCAGCCTTCGTTTATATATTTATTTAACAGTAATTTATAGCTAGCCCTGATCCAAATGGACCTGCTACAGTTTAATAGATGATCTGATTTCCACAACACATTAAGAAACCTCACATTAAGTGAGATTTAACTAAAGTGAAACACATACCCTCATTTTAGTTTTGTTTTGTTTCTTGTAAACTCTGTCATTATGTATGTTTCTGATTACACCATGTCAGACAGAACCTAGGAATAAGAACAAACGTCTGTATGCTCAAAGTGCTAACTGAAATATGTGTTCAATTCTGATCACCCTTGGCGGTGAAAAAAAAAATCTAATTTATCAACCACATAACTATCTACAATGATCAAAATGCCACAAGAACAGGGGCTTTCCATTTCATAAATAGAAGACCAAGACATAGGTTGTACCTTTTGATTCATTTCCTTTTTGAAACAATGATTTTCTTTAAAAAGGAAGCTTCAGTCATGATGGGGACTTTTCTACCAGTTCCATTCTTTCGTTTGAATAACATAACTCCTGAGGATGCACAGGCCCTCCCCACTAGTGGTGAAAAAACTGTTCAAGGGGAATGGGATGATCCTTCGCAAGAAGGAACAGAAGGATAAAATTCTTCTCCCACCTGGAGTGGAATGTTTAATGTCTGGAACTCCAAACTCAAATCCATCTGCAAATGTCTAAATGTCTAAATCAGGGGCCGGCAACCTTAAACACTCAAAGAGCCGTTTGGACCCCTTTCCCACAGAAAAGAAAACACTGGGAGCCACAAAACCCTTTTGACATCTAAAATGAAGATAACACTGCATGTATCATTTTTTTTTACCTTTATGCTATGTATAAAAAAAGTGAACAAAAAATAAGTGAGAAAACAAATTTTTATTTCTGCATGCAGCAAAAACATTTTGAACTCTGAAAAAAAAGATGCTGGGTTGAAAGTTACTTTCAAATAAAATACTCAATGTCTATTTGAGTCCTCATATTTATGAAATAAAAAGCTGAACTTAAATTATCCACCTTCAGCAAACCAAAATGTCATCTGCTTCTGTGTGCCTTCATCCTTTTATAGTGTGTACTGGAGGGTTAATATTTGGGGTTTTTTCCTGAATGAATCTGCCCACATACAATTACATGTTTTATTTTCTTCTGAAACTTTTTTGGGATTTATCCATGGTTGGCTTACCAGGGGTCAAAAAGCTCAATAAATCGTGTGCCAGTGGGCATTGCCCATTGGCGGTGGTGACACATATTTTGAATGACAGGGAGCCTCAGCAGAGAGGTGAAAGAGCCACATGTGGCTCCAGAGCCGCGGGTTGCCAACCCCTGTCTAAATCTAGCAAGATTTGTCATAGGCAAATAATTTTTGACATTCAAAATTGGAAGCTTGTTCTCCCCCTTCTTCTTTATGATCAATCCTGTTGGCCAAAGCTATCTTCGTCTAGCATGCATTTCACATGAACAATGGAATGGGGGAGGAGGGAATCATTTTTAGTATGCCTCCTGTGGTATTCCTGTTTCCAGCATGCTGCAACAGTAGGAATATGAAATGGGCCCAGTTCTTCATGAAAAATCTTCATTTCAAACCATACAGTTTGGAGCCATTTCTTTCCTCTCAGACATATAGAATGTGTTCCAAAGTATACTAAATATCCAAATCTAGTCATTTTAGTTAACTGGAACCAACCTGTTCATATAGGAAGCATAATTCCAGGAAATCAATCAAGGAAGGTAGTTGCATTCATGTTAGAGGTGAGCCATATATCTGCTGGTTCAAAGACCACTCTAGGTTTTGCATTGAATGTAGAGGTTTATACACCAAAGGTAAGCAGATTCTAGTGCTATTTTTTTGGTGGAAGTGAAGTATGTACCTTAAATATCTGCGAGGCCGTTGACATCCATTTTGTATCTTATTTCTCTAAATTCTCAAAACATGCACAAAAGAGGAGGAACAAGAGTTTTCTTTGGCTACATCCAATCTAGATTGATGATGCCATATCACATACAGTTCCTGCACTAAAATTTTTGGCACTTTCACTTTCTCTTCCACTCTTAGCTTGCTGGAACCATCTGATTGGCCATTGGAATATTAAATGTCCGATAAGATGAACTTTTTCTGATCTGCTTTAGCAGGTCATTTTTAATCATAATCTATTTTATAATTGAAACCACATTATAGAAACGGCCAGTGCTACATATTGCGGTAGTAGAACCAACCAAATGCTAATCAAAATTGGCTGATCTTGTGTTGCCTGTCTCTCCACAGGTATGGGAATACCTTATGGTGTGTACGACCACCTTGGAAGTTGGGGACAAACTGTGTTTGGCTGAGTTTTGCTGTGCTATGTTTGACTATGCTAAGCTTAGTTTGTCTACAGACAGGGATGATGCTGCATTTGGGCTCCCGTGACTCAGGAGTGCCCTCCAACTTTATAAGAACAATCCAAAATTCCTCAGAAAGAAACAGCACTCTGAAACTTCCCTCAGCTGCTAGATCTGCCAATCGGAACTTAGAAATTACAACACAGACTCTGACAGAAGATTCCTTCTTCTCCAGAATCAAGAAGTTCTGGCAACGGCTTGAGAAAGTACTTGCTGGATTTCAGCAACTCAGGAAGGTTTCTCATTCCATCCTCCCAGCACAGCCCTTACCATGGCCTGTATGGCAGAAAAAGCTTTCATCCCAAGTACTGAGCCCTCGTCTTCGACAAGTCTTCCAGACCTATCAATCAATGAACAAGTTTCAGGTGCCTTCAGGTGTTGGGCAGCACCTAGGCAACCTGCACCTAACTGGGATGGACCTCTTGTGCCAGCTCAAAAGCCATGTGAATGTGTCTACTGTGTTGGGTGATGAAGGACCCTTTGCAGAACCAGTATGGAGGGGTATGCTGCCTCAGAGGAGTTTGGCAGAAGAACTTGGTCACCTGAAGACATGTGCAGTTGTGAGCTCAGCTGGCTCCATGTTGGGGTCAGGATTGGGCAATGAGATTGGTGAGTGTTAAAGGAAAAATCAGATATTCCCATGGGATGGGTGTCTACTTAAGCTTCCCCATACAGATGATAAATATATTATTCTTAAACAAATGCTATAATTCATGGTTGTGTTAAAATGTTATTATTTTTTTTATGGAAGAGCCAAGGAATACAATTGTATAAAATACATACTAGATCTCCCACCTTTCCTTTCTAGCTTGTTCTATCCATAGAATAGAGAACTTTCTAGGTTTCTATTGCTATTTGGATGATCAAAGTCATTCTCATATGTCTTTGGAATTATTCTTTCTTATCTGGGTGCTCCCAGTTCCAGTTAGGTTCTCCCCGGGATTAAATATCAAACCTATTATATATTTTTCAATGTAGCACTAGTTTATTGTAATTAAAACTCTTCATCAATGTACTGAGACCTTTTAACTTAGCTGGTTAAGGTGAATCTGTGATTGTCTTCCCATGAGCTATTATAGCAGAAAAAGCAAAGATTTATGTAGCTTTTGCACAATATGCTAATCTTGGTTAAGATTATTGGTTTCTTTCTTTCATTAAGGGAACCTAGCGCTTAACAATGGCTGTGAATATATTTCTGCGTAAATATGAACTCATGTCCTAAAGCTACTAGATAAAGAGAACCCAATTAAACAAATGCATAAAAACATTATTCCTGTTCATATACTTATTGAGGGAAATCATCCAAAGCTCCATATTTGCATGTGACAAAAGTATTTGAAACTTTGCATTCGGTGACTGGTGTGCCATTTTGGTTCAGAGGTACAGAACAGGCTCAAACTATGATACTGCCACCACCATGAGTAGGAATCTGGGCAAAATTCTGAGATAGGAAATATTTCAAAATATATGACTAGGTCTACAACTAACAAAGGGTGCCCAAACCAGGATCAATGCCTTTTGAAGGGGATATGTTGCTATACATCATGTTACTCCAACTGGGAAAATAGAAACAGCATGTGACTGCCAGCCTAAAAGAAGTAGAATAAATGTTTGAGAAATATACAGAATATAAGAGTTGAAAGTTTTAGTTTGGATCACTCTTTGATAAGTTGCCATTTGTTATTTCTTGTCTTGCCTTCCTTTACTTGGAAAATAGGTTGTCCCTCTTTTCTTTGTGATAGCCTCTCAAATATAGGAAGATTGCTATAGTGTCATCCCTACTTCTTCTCTTTGTTAAACTAGACATGTCCAGTTCCTGCAGCTGTTCGTCATCTATTTTAGCCTCTAGACTCTTAATCACCTTTGCTGTTCTTCTCTGCATTCTTCTATAGCCCCAACATTCGTTTTGTATCATGGTAACCAGAACAGGACACAATATTCCAAGTGTGGTATTACCAAGGCATTTTAAAGTGAAACTAAGACACATGATTTTGATATTCCTCTGTTGATGCAGCCTATGACTGCATTGGCATTTTTGGCAGCTGCAGCACATTGTTGGCTCATACTTAAGTGGTTGTCTACTAAGAGATCCATCTCACAATTATTGCTATTGAGCCAGGTACCACCTATTCTATATCTATGCATATGTTTTTTCTTGCCAACGTATAAAACCTTGCATTTCTCACCACTGAGTTTGTTAGATAGGGCTCAGTGTTCAAGTTTGTCAAGATCTTTCTGGATCTTGAGCCTATCTTTAAAAGTGTTGGCTATCTCCTAGCTTGGTGTTATCTGCAAATTTGATGAATTCCCTTCTACCCTGTCATCTAAATCATTTATGAAGATGTTGAAGAGTACTGTGCCTAAGACAAAACCTTGGGATACTGCATGCTTTTCTTCATATAGATATAGTTCCATTGAGGACTACACATTGAATGCCGTTTGTCAGCCAGTTATGAATCTACCTAGTAGTGATGCTGTCTATTCCACATTTTTCTATCTTACCAATAAGTAGGTTGTGGACTACCTTGTCAGATGTGTTACTGAAGTCCATGTGTACTATGTCGACAGCATTTCACTAGTCCACTAATTTAGTCACTTTATCAAAAAATGCAATAAGATTTGTTTGGTATGATCTGTTTTTGATAAACCCATGTTGGCTTATTGTAATAGCTTTGCTTGCTTCTAGGTCTTTGCAGATCCGTTGCTTGATTACCTTTCCCAGTATAAATGTCAGGATGATTGGTTTGTAGTTTCCTGGAATCATTTTTCCCTTTTTTTGAAGATGGGAACCAACACAGCTGTTTTCCAGTCTTCTCTTCTGGTAGTTCCCCGGGTGCTCCAGGATCTTTGAAAAATATGGTTTGATGGCGTCGAGATCACATTTGCCAGCATTTGCAGAACTCTGTGATGTAATCCATCTGGTCCTGGTGATTCAAATTCAAGTGGACAACCATTTTCTTGCCTGTTATGTTGTGGGGTGTTTAAACTTGCTGTGAAGGAAAAAGCATGTTTGCAAACTGATCAGGAGGAATTAGAGCTTTCTAGGTGCTTGAAAGCTGTCAAGGGCATTGAGTGAATTCACAGCACTGGCAATTTTCTACCAACAGGCTGTGGGTGGTGAAAGATTTGCAAGATTAGTTAATTGCAGATAGACAGCAGGCTAATCTGCAAGAAACACCATCTAGTCTCAAGGGGATAAAGTGAAAAATGTGTTTTTTCTACCACTGAGAAACAACAGTGAAACAGGAAAAAAAAGTTTAAAGAAAAAAAGTGTCTAGTGAATACCATGAGAGTTGTAGAGTTACTTTAGAAGAGGTCTGTCCAGTTAAGAGATAGCAGTCCCTGATTTTTCCTCAGAAGAATGTTGAGGGAAGTTTTAGAAAAGAATTTTTTTCCTGATACAGAATAATACAAGCAAATAAAATATTCTATTAACAATCCTCAATGTACAGACAACATCAAGTTTATACAAATTGGCACATTGTCAATACTGTAGAGCTCCCAAAGCTGTTGTGAATATTAATAATTGATTCTGGGCAGAATAAACAAATGAGAGGGATGGATGGGAGTGGGTGTATTTGGAGAGTTACAATCTTAAAAGCATCCTCACTCAGCCCATGGATTAGGAAGAGTCTCAAATTCTGTAGTGTGCAGAAGAGGGAAGACAGCAGCTTCAGCAAATAGTCTTTCAGTCTGGTGAGACACTTAAAAATTATAGGTGAGATGGCACATTAGCAGTTTTGAGAAAGTCTGTATAACAGGGCCAATTGTTGTCTTTACCTATCCAGAGATTCACAACATAAGACACAAATGCAGGTTTATTACTTTTCTTGCTCCTTTCCTATTTTAAAAGCTTTACTGCCTCACACACAGATACCCTAAGCAAACTATCCAATGCAATGTCTAGCTAGCCAAACCAGGTCTGAGTTACACCATGCAAAACATTTCAACTTATTTGATGGTTCTGACCGTATTACAGTTCCCATCCACTTGTATAACTTCCAGTAAGGCTTGGCCAGTCTCACTGTAGCATTTTTCTCATGTCTCTTTTTACATTTCTATTGAGTACCACTGTTTCATCCCAGTTCACTTGAAAATATCAATTCTCTCATTATGGGAACCACTTCATGTTTAAGAACCACCTCTTGTAGATATAGAAATAATAATGCTTGTATTTTTTTTCCTGACACAAGCATTAAAATCTTGGAAATATTTGTTCCATTCCATCCTCAAGAAATTATTAATGGATTATTCATTCTGTCCCTATGGCTTGCTCTGAGTGAGTCTCAGATATTCCACCTTCCATATAGGTACTCATGCAGCATTATATATATTATTAACCATATAAATCAGAATATATAAGCACTAGTAACAACATGGTGACAATTGTGCCCACCCCCTGTTTTGCTGTATATCTTGGCTTGATAGACTAACAACCAGTTTGTTAGCCAAATCTGAATTATAAATGGAATAATGAGCATAGTGAGTTTACAAAGAGCATATTAAAAATAATTATAATGTACCCCCACATGCATAACACCAATGCATACACATGGGAGAGCCAATTTAGTCTAGTGGTTAACTTGATCAAATAAGATCGAGAAAACCCAGGTTCTAATCCTGACCTTGGTACAAAAACCATCTGGGTGACCTTGGCCAAGTACTCTCTCCCAGCCCTAAGAAGAAGGAAATGGCAAGTCCCAGGACCTGCCAAGATTTTAATGTAGCCCTGGTTAGCAGGGACATTAAATAAAGGAGAAGTCAGGCCAGGCCAGTTATGTGGCTGTTTTCTCAACCCCATCTTGCTCTGAGGAAGGGAATGTTATTGTAAAATAAACCCAGGTCAGGAAGGGATGGCCTAGGGACAGAGTCTACCTGCTTTTACTCTCTCTTACCGTTATTTTCTCATTTTCTCAGATTCCCATAATGCTGTCCTTCGTTTCAATGGAGCACCAACTGCTGGGTATGAATATGATGTGGGCAGAAAAACAACACTCCGGCTTGTGAATTCCCAGGTGGGTAATAAACTTTGGAGGGCCAGATTGAGCTGTGGACAAAAGAAAGGGTAGTTAAAAGCTAAACAGGGAAAAGGTCGCGGAAAATGCAATGGCTTAATTTCATTTGTTTGCCATGAAAAAGACAGTAATCTCAATTCTTTAACATTGTTAGATCAGAGGTATCCTTAGGTAGTAAAAAAAGTGAAGATAGTGTCAAGTACCAATGTGATAGAAGTTCTAGCCATTATTATATGCATCATATTTTATATCTTACATTGTTACTTCAATATATTTGGCTGGCTTCAAATATATCAATATATAGGAATAATATAAAACCAGATTCAGAAAATTACAGTCCTATTATAGACAATTACAGACCCAGCTGTTATGACAGAAGAAGGCAAATTGCACTGTACATCTTTAATACAAGATAGAATGTGCATTGTCCTGAGAGAAAAAGTGAGATGCCTAGGCTCATTAGGTTAGAAGATCTCAGATGTCTTCTACTCCAGAAGACTCAGAGGTCTCCTACTTCAGCATGTGGAAATTCTGAAAATTGAAGTCTATGTGAAGTCTATGCTTCTTAAAAGATGCCAAGTTTGAGTTACACTGTTCTATCTAGTCCATCGTCCTGCCCAGGGTAGGAAAACTTAGACCATCCCAGACAAATAATCTACTCAAGTTTGCTTGAAAATATCCTGTGATGGTACATGTACAACTCTAGGAGGCAGGCTATTGCATAGCCTATTTGTGATCACGGTCAGGAAATTCCTCCTTGTCTTGAATTTGGATTCCCCACAGTGAAGTTTCTATCCTAAAGCTTTCACAGAGAGTTTTGGAAAAATAAATGACTTGTACCAATCCATCATCATCATCATCCAAATCCTTCAGTGAGACATCATTACTGAAGCAGAAACCCCTTCACCCAAAGGCCAGCTGAGATGGCTCATTTAACAGATGCCATGATTTCAAGGACAAGTTTGGGACTTTCTCCAGCCTTTCTCTAATACAAGCCCAGATTCAGTTTCCTGTGCTGGATTTTTCTTTCTGGCATTGAGACCTATCGGTTCTATAGAGATTTTCAGGTCATGGTTGTCCCAAAGGTGCTTTTTTTCAGGACACAACTGGACTTTCTTGTTTTTTCTTTTGAAGATGTTTCGCTTCTCATCCAAGAAGTTTGTTCAGCTCTGTCAGGATAGAGGGGAATGGAAGGATTTATATTCCTTGCAGACAGCTGGTCATTTGCATCCTTTTAGAGGGTCATTGGAGCCCTTGGAGGTTTATCTGTGTCCTCAGGATCCCCTGAGTAGTGCTCCTGGTTCCTGTAGCCTTTTTCCTCTGGAAATCCATTCCTACTCCCACAGCATTCAAAGTAGAGGTGGTATTCAGCAGGTTCTGACCAGTTCTGGAGAACCAGTAGCAGAAATTTTGAGTAGTTCAGAGAACCAGCAAATACCACCTCTGACTGGAGATTTTACAGTATCCTTCCCCTGCCAAGCCAACCAAGCCACGCCCACAGAACTGGTAGTAAAAAAAATTGAATCCCATCACTGATTCAAAGGGTGTTCATCCCAAATTGGATGAACTAGGATCACTACTCAGGTGACCCCGAGGACACAGATAAACCTCCAAGTGCTTCAATGACCCCCTAAAAGGATGCAAATTACCAGCTGTCTGCAAGGAATATAAATCCTTCCATTCCCCTATCCTGTCACAGCTGCAGAGGCTTTTTAGATGAGAAGCAAAATGTCTTCAAAAAAGAAAACAAAAAAAGTCCAGTTGCCTCCTGAAAAAAGGACATTTGGGATTGAGAGGTATCATTCTCTTACCTGCATTTGTTTTTTTAGCTAATATAAGGAGAGCCCTGCGAGGCTTGTGTTTGGGATCTGGTTGCTAGGTTACTGGGATTACTGTGGGGTTATAAAACCTCCCGAAACCTGGCAGGGATTCTCCATCACTGTAAAGATTGCATCACCTGGAGTTAACCTACATCAACTGATACTTCAAACCCACCGCTGCTAATTTTCCCTTATGCATTTTTAACATAAATCTTGATCTGGCTGTTGGGGAAACATAGAATATAATCACAATATAATCACAATCTTTAATTAGGTAACAGAGGCTAAAATTTCCATATCCAAAGGTATCCATCCATGCAGTCAGAAAAGTCATGATAGCAGCTGGGACTGCATGATCAAAACCCTGCCCATTTGTACATGCATTACACACCATACATGTGTTAAAAAGGCTCAGGGCTTTGATCATGGAACCATTGCCACCATTGCACCCAAACCTCTTATAATTTAATATATTTGTGAGTGGTCATTGGTGATGTTTATGTCTCACATATCAAGAGTGGACTTCTGAAACTCAACATTCACTTTGTATTTAGAGATGGGGATAAGCTACTAAAATTGTTTTTTTACTTCTTGGGAAGAAGGAAAAACATTACTTTTCTTCTTTCTTTTTCTTGTCCTTTTCTTTTGTCTTCCACTTTTTTGTTATTTTGTGTATTTTATATTGACTTTTATTCTTTCCATTGATAATTCTTAATACAATTTTTTTAAAAAAAATGAAACTCAACTCCACCCTCAATTAATTGATTTATTACAGTATTAGTTCCAATTTAATGGCAAAGATAACTGCACAGGGTTCCTATGAATACCTTTAACTTCTGTCATAATTGAGATACTTTACATTTTATTGATAATGTTTGCTGCTGATGCTAGTACAGGTAGTCCTCGACTTACAGTTCATTTAATGACCATTGAAAGTTACAACAACACTGAAAATAGTGACTTTATGACCGTTTTTCACAGTTACAACCTTTGCTACATGGTCATGTGATTAAAATTCAGATGCTTGGCAACTGGTTCATATTTATGACCGTTGCTGTGTCCCAAGATCATGTGATTCGCCTTTTATGACCTTCTGACAAGCAAAGTCAATGGGGAAGCCAGATTCACTTTAACACCTGGGTTACTAACTTATCAGCTGCAACGAGTCACATAACAACTGTGGCAAGAAAAGTCATAAAATGGGGCAAAACTAACTCAACAAAAGTCTCACTTAACAACAGTGGACTCCGTTGTGGGTTGTAAGTTAAAGTCTTAGTGGACAACCAGCTAAATATGAGCCAGCAGTGTGCAGCAGCAGCCAAAAATGCTAATGCAATCTGAAGTTGTATAAACAGAGGGATACAATCAAGGTCAAGGGAAGTACTAATACCACTCTATAAAGCTTTAGTAAGACCACACCTAGAGCACTGCATCCGGTTTTGTTCACCACATTATAAAAAAGATGTCGAGACTCTAGAAAAAGTATAGAGAAGAGCGACCAGGATGATTAGGGGACTGGAGGCTAAAACATACAATGAACGGTTGCAGGAACTGGGCTTGGCTAGTCTAGTAAAGAGAAGGACGAGGGGAGACATTTTTTTATTTTTTATTTTCTTTGGTTTGTCAATTGCTTACAAGATAATAGGTATAAGTAAAAACATAGTTATGAATACATGGATACATATAAGAGAAATAAAAAACAAACAAACATACAAAATGAAAAAAAACATGATAGCAGTCTTCCAATATTTGAGGAGCTGCCACAGAGAGGAAGGGGTCAAGCTATTTTCTAAAGTGCCTGTAGGCCAGACAAGGAATAATGGATGGAAATTGAACAAGGAGAGATTTAACCTGGAAATAAGGAGAAACTTTCTGACGGTGAGAACAATCAACCAATGGAACAGCTTGCCCTCGGAAGTTGTGGGAGCGCCATCACTTGAGACTTTCAAGAAGAGATTGGACTGCCATTTGTCAGAAATGGTGTGGGGTCTCCCGCTTGGGCAGGGGGTTGGACTAGATGACCTACAAGGTCCCTTCGAACTCTGATGATCTGTTATCTGTTATCTGACTACTTGTACCATATTTTGACCTCCTTCACTAGCTGCAGGTCAGAGAAAGATCTTTGATCATTATTACTCTGAGAAAAAATCCTCTCCTCTGAAATTGTAGCAGTGGTTTTGCAATATGTTTTGCAATATAAGCTAGATTGTTGGGAGATAGTTCTGAGCTTTTTTCTCTATTCCTGCCTGGCATTTTGCTGAATATGCCTGGAATCAAAACCCTCAACTCAAACTCAAATATCAAGGCCAGAAAATTATCAGAGTAGCAGCCTTCAGGAATATGTATTAATTATTAAGTACCCTTTAAGGAGTTCCAGAGAAGTTAAATGACACTCTGTGTAATTTGGACCTAGTCAAATCACTGCCAGCAAATCACTGCCAGCAAATCTGCAAAGTGCAGCTTGAAGATTTCTGCATTTATCATTCTCAACCAAGTCATTAGAGCGAATTGCTTAGACTAGAGCAGCACAAACATAAAAGGATAGAAAAAAAATGCATACCACAAAACAAGTTGAATCTGACATTTGGGGCTCTCCCTGTATGCAAATATATAAGGTACTTCTGGGCAATTCTTGTAAAATGTAGGATATTCCTCTGATTGTTTCTGAGTTCTTTCTAAATGAAGAGGAAGTACTCTTATTCTGATGAATTGGCCAGGCTTGCTAGGAACACCACTAGATTGTTTCCCTTGCAGCTGCATGGTTGGCTTGAATTTGTGGTTAAAAATAGTTTTCCTATCTACGTTCTTCTTCACAGCTGATGACTTCTCCAGAGCAGCATTTTCTAGATGGACAACTCTATGCCCAGGGAACTCTGGTCGCCTGGGATCCAGCCCCTTACCCTGGGGACCTAGAAGAGGTGAGATTCTCTAGTTAGGGTCACATTATATGCTAGCCTAGGCTAAAATGGGGCTGAGGTAACCTGTGGCTCCCATATGTTGTCATAGCACCGTGATGGCGAACCTATGGCACGTGTGCCACAGATGGCACGCAGAGCCATTTGTGCCGGCACGTGAGGTGCAGGCAAACTTACCTCACTGCGTATGCACGCGCCTCAGAGCTGATTTTTTTGGCTGGTTTGAGGCCTTTTTCGGCCTCCCAGAGGCTTGAAAAAAGTCTCTGCACACTTTGCAGAGGCTTTTTTCAAGCCCCTGGGAGGCCGAAAAGGGCCTCAAACCAGCCAAAAAATCAGCTGTGAAGCATAGTGCAGGTAAGGTGTGGGGGGGGGATTGCGCATGCATGAGCAGGTAAGGGGAGGTGTGTGAATTGCCTTCTGGGTGCTGGCATATGAGCATGTGTGTGCAAGTGCACACACAATTTTTGGCACAGGAGCCCAAAAAGGTTAGCTACCACTGTCATAGCATCTTGTGTCATCCAGGCCAGTTTCTTCAGCTATAATATACAGGTAGTCATTGATTTACAACCAAAACTGAGCCCAAAATTTCTGTTACTAAGTGAGAGTTGCTATGTAAATTTCCCCCCCTTTCACGACCTTTCTTGAGACTGTTGTTAAGTGAATCACTGCAGTTAACTTAGTAACATCGTTGTTAAGTGAATCTGACTCCCCAATAGACTTTGCTTGTCAGAAGGTCAGAAAAGGTGATCACATGACCCCAGGGCACTGCAACCATCATAAATACATGTCAGTTGCCAAGCATCCAAATTTTGATCACCTGACCATGGGGATGCTGCAATGGTTGTAAGTGTGAAAAACTGACATAAGTCACTTGTTTCAGTGCCTCTGTAATTTTGAACAATCACTAAATGAATTGTTGTAAGTTGAGGGTTACCTGTAATTTGCTGAGCAACAAGACAAACGTCAACTCATAAAGAATTACTATGGTCTTTTAGAGTTGCCAACAGAAAGGGAGCGGGGAGCAATGCGGCAGCTTGCAAACCAAAACTGCATTCCATAAATGTTTTCAAAGATAGTAACTAGGTGACCGAAGTTTCTGCTGTGCAAAATTCTAACTGGAGAGCATGATTGATGACTCTTGGCTATGGATGTGTCCCATTGGAGAATATGAATTATGATACACGGGGGGGGGGGGAAACCAGGGTCAAGGGTGACAATGAATGATGTGTCTTAGAGTTGGCTACACCCAGGCAATACCGGACCTTTTAACTCCCAATAAATCCGTTTGAAGTTTTGGAAGTTTGGCTCAAGACTCATGATTTAAATGGGGTTAAGTGCCAGAATCCTGACAACAACAATTGTCTGTGTTGTATGAACACAGTCTTTTTAGTACCTGTACTCTAGGACAGAAGGGGATCTATGTACACATACATACATACATAACACCAACATATGGCTCATGAGCCACATACGTTTAGCTCCCAGAGCACTCAAGAGAGACTGATATCCAGAAGCTACTGCAATGAATTTTTTTCCAAAACATAATACTTAAAATAGATTGCTATCCTAAAAACAATAGACCCAAGGATGAAAAAAGTCAGGCCCTTTGTGCTATAAAATGTTCCTTTTCTGTAGGGGATTAGAGAGATTCAGCAACTTCTAGAAGGAGAATGAATGAAATGTGGTGTTCTTTGATCCTCTAAGTATTTTCTCCCCGTTAGAGGTATATGCCATGTTTCCCCGAAAATAAGACCTAACTGGAAAATAAGCCCTAGCATAAGGACGATTCAGGATGCTTATAATATAAGCCCTACCCCCCAAAATAAACTCTGGTTAAGATAGTCAGCTAGACAGATGCATTTAGTACCTTATTTCCATGAAAAATAAGACCTAACCAGAAAATAAGCCCTAATGTGTTTTTTGGAGCAAAAATTAACGTAAGACCCAGTCTTGTGTTTGGGGAAACACAGCTAAAAGCAGTCTTTTGCAGCTTTTTACTTTTCAGTTGTAAACTACCCACTGAGTTAAGCAACCTATAAACCAAATGAATGAACTGCATGATGATTGAAAATGGACCTAGATTTAAGTACTATTACCTTTCTGTTGGATTGGAATGAAACCCAACTTGACCAGAATGTTTTTTTACTGCTTTGAAACTCATCAAATGTGGTATTCAATGCAGTTTGACACAAAACTGTCAAACAAAACTATTGTCCCGGTACTCAGCGTTTGATTGATACTCAATGCTAGAATGTGTTGGTGTTGGCTGCCTTGTGACTCACTTATGGGAAAAATGTATTTGGTGCTCATCATTTGGTATTCAAAAAATGTATTTGGTACTCAAAAATGTATTTGGTACTCATCATTTGGTACTCAAAAATGTATTTAATAATCATCATTTCTCCTGGAACCAACCAATGATGATTATCAAGGTAGTACTATATATGTTAATCCATAAAAAACATTAAATAACCAAGGAAACATACATTCTTATTGTACATTCTGCTCAGTGTTGGACATTTGCAAAGCATTATGTTTTATTCTCAGGCATCATATCTTATTACATCCAGCATTCAGCAACCAACCTTCAGCTCCGGTTTCACAAAAAGACAAAACCAAGGTCACTTGGTTGAGCTGGACAGCTATAGAAATTGACTGAGTAAATAAACACATAAATAAATACGATCTAATTCAAGCATATTAATTTCACATATGCTTTATCTAACTTAACAGGTGCATATGTTTCATTAATGTGAATGCTTCTTTTCCCCCCAAATCATAATTAGTGAACTCACAGTTAGAAAATTGACTTACTGATGCCATCTTGGAAAATTTTCTTGAGACTGATAGAAAGGATGAACTGTGGGATCTTTTGTGCTCTCTGACAGATGTTTCTGCAAAAAAAAAAAATCACCCCCCAAATGCTGCAAATGGCGCTTTCTGTGTTCTGTTTTGTCTCAATCCTTCTGCACTAAACGACAGAGCAACAAAGATGGTTAAAGGTCTGGAGACGAAAACATATGAAAAACAGTTGCATGAATTCTGTATGGATAGCAGTGTTCCAATATTTGAGGGGCTGCCACAAAGATGAGGGAGTCAAGCTATTCTCCGAAGCACCTGAAGGCAAGACAAGAAGCAATAGATGGAAATTAATCAAGAAGACAAGCACCCTAGAATAAAGGAGAAATTTCCTAACAGTGAGAACAAATTAAAAAGGGATGATGTATATTAAAGCATAATGGATAAATGGATCCTTTTTGTTGGAGTTGGACATCCAAATACCAGTCCACACTCAGGCATAAAAGTTCACTAGATGACTTTGGTCTGAGTGGAATAAATGGCCCAATCAGCTTTACATTATAGATTGTCACTGCAGGAAAAAAAATTGGAGAAAAGATGCTATAAATACTGTCTTGAGATTCTAAATAATGGGATATAAATTTAATGCATGAATGTGCTTGGCAACTTTTAGAAGTACTATAGTCTAATTCAGCTGCAGTGTTCCTCTCCCTCCCTCCTTCTCTCCCTCCTTCTCTCTCCCTCCCTCTCCCTCTCTCTCCACACATACACAAACTCACTCACCCATTTTAATAAACCATACCTAAAGTCTAGAATTTTCCCCCCAGAGCAGCTGAATCATAGTTGCAGGATGTACCAATACTTTTCTATTTCAGAGACATAAAACTGTATTTCAATGACATAATAGACTAAAAAAGCCCATTAACAAGCACTTGTACTGGCTTTTGACCCCTACAGATCAAAACTGCCCTTTTTGATTTTCTGGAGACCACATTTATAACCATTACCAAACCTGGAATATAAATCCCAGTTTCTGGAAACTCAAATTATTGCGGTAAGTGAGTCAAGTGACCCAGAGAGCAATAAAGGTTGATTGAGGAATCATACAAGATAGAGAATATAATAGTGGCATGGGTCATTTATTATTATTTTTAACTAAGTGTGTCATACAGCCATAATTCAGCTGAAGATCTCAAAAATCTCTGAAGTTAAAACTATCACAATGATATTGAAAAAGCTAAATGAAAGAGGTGTACCAACTCTTTCTAAAAGTAAACCGAATGGGGTTCGATCAGAATGAAAAGGGGTGTTCCTGCACAGAAAGCCTTTCCCATTCCATTGTGTTTTTGAGATGTCCTCAAAAGCCCTCTGCAAATTCACTCTCTCCACTTTCAGGAAAGAACTAGAAAACTTTCATTGCTGAAAAACATGCTAAATTTTGTAGGAGGATTGCTTTGTGGAAATTATGATGTTTTGTGAACTCAGGCCATTTGGTTGGTCTATATTTCAGCCCAGGTAGTCCTTGATTTATAACCATTCATTTAGTGACTGTTCGAATTTACACTGGAAAAAAAGATTTTTGAGGGTTTTTCACACTTAGACCATTGCAGCATCCCCATAGTCACATGATCAAAATTTGGATGCTTGGCAACTAACATGTATTTATGATGGTTTCAGGGCCCTGGGGTCATGTGATCACCTTTTGTGACCTTCTGACAAGCAAAGTCAATGGGGAAGCCAGATTCACTTAACAGCCCTGTTACTAACTGAACAACTGCAGTGATTCACTTAACAACTGAAGCAAGAAAGGTCATAAAATGGGGTTAAAGTCACTTAACAATTGTCTTGCTTAACAATGGAAATGTTGAGCTCAACTGTGGTAATAAGTTGAGAACCACCTGTACATATACCCACCAAGAAATGCAGTTAATTCAGCAACTAGGTTAAGAGTGTGATGCAATTGCAGCCATTACATTGTTATGAGCTGCTAAACCTCTCTGCTGTATTTGGGCAAACCTGGAGATGAAATATAACTTTGGTCCAGAGGTGGTATTCAGCAGGTTCTGACCAGTTCTGGAGAACCAGTAGTGGAAATTTGGAGTAGTTCAGAGAACCGGCACATCCCACCTCTGACTGGCCCTGCCCCCATCTGTTCTCTGCCTCCCATTGAGTCCCAGCTGATCAGCTGGCTCTTCTTTTGTTGCCCTGCACAGGAGAACGGAGCTGGAAAGCAGGTTAGTGGGGTGGGGAGGGAATGGGATTTTGCAGTTTCCTTCCCCTGCCACACCACATCCACCAAGCCACGTCCACAGAACTGGTAGTAAAAAAAATTTGAATCCCACCACTGCGTTTGGTCTGTGGGGTTGGTTAGGCAGTGATGTTCTACCCTGAGAGGTTTGTCTTTTTCATTCCCAGTGGTACAAGTCTCCTGATTATCCCCTCTTTGAACCCTTCCGTACCTTGCGGGCTAAAAGACCTTGGCAGCTGTTCCATCTGTTGCATCCACGGCTACAGTGGGAGCTCTGGGAAGTGGTTCAGGAAGGGGCAGATGAGCAAGTGCAGCGCAACCCTCCATCTTCGGGCCTGCTGGGTAAGTAAGAAAGGAAATTCTTCAACCTACCATATTCTCGGTAGCCCCAACTGCTACGTTGTTTGTTTTTGCTTGCAACTGCTGTCTACACTTCCTGTTTCAAAATAATCACCCTCTTTATATGTGTGGCCATAAAGTTACTATTTTGCATTCCTTGTCCCATGCTTCATTTTGATCAAACTTACTGAACCAAAAACCAGATTCTGCAACTGCCAAGAGGCTTGTGCTGTGGACTTCCTAGAGTAAGATTGTGTGGTTCAAAAGTATCTGGAAGGCATTGCTTCCTTAATCCCAAGAAGCTCTTTCTGCTAATTACAATTTGGGGGAAGTTGAAGGTAAAACTAAAATTATTTAGTGACAGTAATTGAATTGGGTGTGTCTAATGTAATGAAAAGAAGGACTAGGGATGACATGATAGCAATGTTCCAATATTTGAGGGGCTTCCACAAAGAAGAGCGGGTCAACCTATTTTCCAAAGGACCAGAAGGCAAAACAAGAAGCAATGGATGGAAACTAATCAAAGCAACCTAGAACTAAGGAGAAATTTCCTAACAGTGAGAACAATTAACCAGTGGAACAACTTGCCTTCAGAAGTTGTCGGGTGCTCCATCACTGGAGGTATAGCATCTCTTGCTCGAGCAAGGAGTTAGACTAGAAGACCCCTTCCAAGTGTGTTATTCTGAGTTTACATAACACTCTAAATTTGGGTCAACAAGACATAGTTGCTATATTTACATAACATCCCAGTCTAAGATTACCAGATTTGAATTGCAAAAATCCAGATGACCATTAGAGGCAACAAACAGACAACTTTTCTATTTTTGCTGCCATCTAGAGGTTGCAAGGACTTTTAATAGGCTAAGATTTGTTGGCTTTAATTATATCCAAACAAATTAACTTTATATAGTAATTCGCCTCTATTGCTAGACTCCACATGTAGCTGAATCTAACCCACTTTTCATCGTCCAGCACTCTGTGTGGATCAAACTAATCAGAGGCATCAGAACAGGATAGGATTCAAATGGTGAAAACAGCATCATGTTGGTTCCACAACCCAGACCATCCCTTTTGTATATTGGTCATGATATTGTACATATCACAAAAGGACTGGAGCTTGCTTGGTATAACTTTGCATTCATCATTTTAATAATGATGAATCATTATTTAATAAGGTTTTTACAGATGCCTCTATAGCCAATGAAAGAGTCATTCTGCATGTGCTCACGGGATCTCTCATTAATATTTCAATCCAGATGAAGAGACTTCTATAACTGACAGAATTCTATCTTATCTTGGCAATGAACTTCCCACTCCTGGAGTTCCTTGTATGCGAGTCACTTAATTTCCTTGCCCCTCTCATTCTCTGCTCAATCTTTAGGAACAGTGCTAATGATGTCCTTATGCGAACTTGTCCATGTGTATGAATTCCTACCATCTCAACGGCAGTCCCATCAGTGCCACTATTACCAGGATTTCTCTGATGATGCCTGCACACTGGGTGCTTACCATCCATTGCTCTTTGAGAAGAACTTGGTGCGTCGCATGAACTGTGGCACAGAGGCTGACTTGGCACAAAGGGGCTGTGTGACATTGCCTGGCTTCCAAGTCCTGAATTGCCCCCACAAGGCAAAACATCTGAACAGGGTCTGAAGTAAGGTGAGGCAATCTGTTTTATATCGCAACAGAAGGGATGAGGGATACCATCTGAAAGCAGCAGGCATCTCCACATAGATTGATTGAGCTATTGATGTAATTCAGTATTTCTTCTCTTTAAAAAACATTGCTTATTAAGTTATAGAGTATTATAAAGCACAAAATACAGAAGTAAACAGAAGAGCAGCAAGGAGGGAGGGAAAAGGGGAAAGTGAAGTGAAGATAGGGAGGAAGGGAAGAAAAAGAAGCATTGACTTTTGACTCTCTCTGTTACAGTAAAATAAGGCATTAACATCAAATCACAACTTTTTGCTTTTCCATAATAGTATGAACAAGTCATTTCTATAAAGATCTATCATCTAATCCGTAAACCCCAAAGTCAGAGTTTCATTCTTTTCCACATCAAGCACGAAGTTCAGAAGTGGTTTTCATGTGGAAACAAAAGTACTTATGTTCTTTTCTTTAATCAAGTAGTCAGTTTTGCCATTTCACCAACTCCATCAACTTCTGCAACCATTCTTCCATGGTAGGAATCGAAGTGTCCTTCCATTTTTGCGTATACAATAGTCTTGCTGCTGTCAATATACATAGTAACAAAGTTCCATTTTTTTTCTCCAGATCTTTTTCCATTAGACCCAAAAGGAAAAGTTCTGGTTTCGTTTTTATCTCTGTTTTCAGAATTTTCTGTATTAAAATATGAATCATACTCCAATTTTTTTTGCTTTATTATATGTCCAACATAAACGATAAAAAGTCTCTTCTTTATTTTTACACTTCCAACATTCATTTGACATACCTTTATACATCTTAGATAACATCTGGTGTTAAATATCAACAATATATCATCTTATAGAAATTCTCTTTTAGATTATAATTTAATGTAAATTTTAAACCCTTCATCCACATATTTTCCCATTGTTCAAGCATCACATTATATCCAAAATTCCTTGCCCACTGAATCATACAATGTTTTAAAATAGAATTTTTATTGGCCAAGAGTGATTGGACACACAAGGAATTTGTCTTTGGTGCATATGCTCTCAGTGTACATAAAGAAAAAAATAAAATACATTCATCTAGAATCATACGATAGAACACTTAGTGATAGCCATAGGTTACTAATAAGCAATCAAATCATAGTAAGAAACAAATAAAACAATATAAATTGTAAAGATACAAGCAACACAGTTATAGCCATAAGTGGGAAGAGATAGATACTAGGAAGGATGAGAAGAAGAATAGTAATGCAGTTTTAGTAAATAATTTGACAGTGTTGTGGGAATTAGTTGTTTAGCAGAGTGATGGCATTTGGGAAAAAACTGTCCTTGTGTCTAGTTCTGGTGTGCAGTGCCCTATAGCATCACTTTGAGGGTAGCAACTGAAACAATTTATGTCCAGGATGTGAAGGGTTTGTAGATATTTTCACAGCCCTCTTTAGTTTAGTGTACTTTACTTTATTGTCATTGCACCTCGTACAATGAAATCAAACACCATCTTCAGTGCACATCATGACTATGATGTGGTCCATCAGGTACACAAACACACATCCTTCACACTCCACACTTTGAACTGAAAACCCCCAACACTGCACCAACACTGCACTATACAGTAGAATTCAAAAGAGCTACTGCCCTGGGATAGAAGATGTTTTTCAGCCTATCTGTGCTTGTTTTTATTATCCTGTACCATCTGCCAGATAGTAATAGTTCAAAAAAAGGTGCCCAGATGAGACGGATCTTTGAAAATGTTTTGAAATTTCTTAAGACAGCAGGAGCTATAAAGCTCTTCCAAAGAGGGGAGAGGCAACCAATGATCTTCTGGACAATGACGTTAATCCTCTGGAGTGCTTTCCTATATGCCACTGTGCAATTGGCAAACCATACAGAGGTGCAATAAGTTAAGATACTCTCTATGGTGCAGCGGTAGAAGGTCACCAGCAGTTTTTCATTCAGCTGTTGTTTTCTGAGAAGTCTCAGGCAGTATAATCTCTGCTGGGCCCTTTTGACCAGGGCTGCAATTTGAGCACCTCAGGTCCAGTCCTCTTTTATGGTAACACCCAGGAACTTAAAACTGGCCACTTGGTCCACTTGGTCTCCATTGATAAGCAAGGGTTGGATGTCTGATCTGTTCCTTCTATAGTCCACTATAAGCTCCTTAGTCTTATTGGTGTTGAGGACCAAGTTATTGTCTCCACACCATGAAAGCAACTGGTCCACCTCATCTTGGTAGGCAGACTCATCCCCTCTGGAGATGAGTCTCACCACTGTTGTATCATCTGCAAATTTAGTAATAGCATTACTAGCCTCAGTGGGAATGCAGGGGTGGGATACAAATTTTGTAACAACCGGTTCTATGGGCATGGCTAGGTGGGTGTGGCTAGGTGGGCATGGCTTTTTTACAGCAACCCCCCCCACCCATTTTTTGGACCTTCTGGGCCTCAGGGAAGCCTCCTGGGGGGGCGGTTTTGCTCCCAGAAGGCTTCCCTGGGACCCAGGAGGAAAAAAAATGGAGCATGGGGGGAACCACAGCCCCTCTCTGTGCTCTGTTTTGGGGGCTTCTGGGCCTCAGGGGAGCCTCTTGGAGAAGGAAAAAAATGCAGCACGGGGGGGGGGGGGACAGCTGATCATCGGGAGGGATAAAAAAGAAATACCTTAAGTGACTGTGCAGAATCATAACAACCGGTTCTATAGAACTAGTCCGAACTGGTAGAATCACACCCCTATATACAGGTCTTCAATAGAAGGCAGGTTGGTAGCAATTGTTTTTTCTGCAGTTCTAAATATCTGCTGAAGTCTGTGTCTGTCTTGTTTGGTTGCAGAGCCAAACCAGTCAGTTATAGAGGTACAGATGACAGACTCAATAATTCCTCTGTAGAACTGTATCAGCAGCTCTTTGGGCAGTTTGAGCTTTCTGAGTTGATGCAGAAAGAACATCCTCTTTTGTGCTTTTTTGATGATGTTTTTGATGTTAGGTGTCCATTTTAAGTTTTGAGATATGATAGAATCTAGAAACTTGAAGGTCTCTACTGTTGATACTGTGTCATCTAGTATTGTAAGAGGTGGTTGTATAGGAGAGTTTCTCCTAAATCTACCACCATTTCTGTGGATTTGACTGTATTTAATTCAAGATTGTTCTGGCTGCACCACAAGGCTAGTTGTTCAACCTCCTATCTGTATGCAGATTCATTGTTGTCTCGAATGAGACCAATCACTGTTGTATCATCTGCAAACTTCAGTACTTTAAAAGAGGGATCTTTTGAGATGCAGTCATTGGTATATAGAGAAATGAGAAATGGAAAAAAGCACACAGCCCCGGGGGCTCCTATGCTAATTGTACACATGTGGGTTTTGCCTAGCTTCATCTGCTGCTTCCTGTCTGTTAGGAAGCTTATGATCCATTTACAAGTGTGGTCAGGTACAGCTAGCTGATTTAGTTTAGTTAGAAGAATATCTAGAATGATGGTATTGAATGCTAAGCTGAAATCTACAAAAAGGACCCTTGCATAGGTCTTTGGAGATTCAAGATGTGGTAGGATGTAGTGCAGAGTCATAGTAACAGCATCATCTGTTGATCTATTTGCTTGGTAGGCAAATTGCAAGGAGTCTAATAGTGGATCCATGGTGGTTCTCAGGTGGGCCAACACTAGCCTTTCTTAACTACAGCTGTTAGAGCAACCAGTCTGAAATCATTCAGTTCTTGGATAGAAGGTTTCTTCGGCACTAGGATGAGCATTTGAAGCAAGAAGAACCATAGCACATCTCTAGTGATTTATTGAAGATGGAGGTGAAGATATGGACCAGTTGATCAGCATAAGCTTTTAAGCAAGAAGGAGTTATCTTGTCTGGGCCTGGTGCTTTTCCTGGCTTTTGTCTGTGAAATAGACCTTGCACCTCATTCTCTGTAATCACCAGAGGTGGTGGGCCCAATGGGATGGGGTAAGTTCTATGAAACTTGGCTATTGTTGGTATGTCTGAGATGGGGATTGTGGAGATGGGTGGCAGTAGTTTTCTCTCAAACCTATAGTAAAACACATTCAGGTCATCTGCCAGTTATTGATTTTCTTCAGCATGGGAAGGAGGTTTGCTGTAACCAGTGATATTTTTAAGAGTTTTCCACATGTTTGCTGTTTTATATATTTTCTGTTTTACATGTTCATTTTTCAAATTCAATTTCAATAACTTTTTGTAAATCTTAGCAAAAATATGTTAATCATTGCTACTTAATGTAAGTTCCAATCCATTTTTAACAAAGTCAAATCCATAACACTTTTTATCTAATTTGAACCTTTCTTTCAGTTGCTTTCTTTCAGTAAACTAAGGGTAGGCATAACCTTCTGATTCAAGTTCTTCCCTCAGCTTTAGTATTGGGTCACCAGAATTAAAAGATAAAATTTTACCATATGTCAGCCAATCTGGCTTTGCCACCACTTCTTTTCTAAAAAAAGCTTCCTGTGGTGACACCCAAAGTGGCAGTGTAGTATTAAGATATGTGGACTTAAACTCCCAGAATTCCCATGCTGGCTGGGGAATTCTGAGGGTTAAAGTCCACATATCTTAAAGTCGCTAAGATTGGGAAACATTGGTGTAGTGAAATGACTGGCAAATTAGCAGAGATAGTCCAGGAAGCCCAAATAGCTTTTATAGTAATCAATCTGCATAACCATTTGATGGCAGCAAAGAGAATTTTTGGTATCTCCTTACTGCCATCTAGTGTTCACTGGGATTTTTAAAGCTCAAGTGTGATAGGTGCTCAAGACATTTTTTCTAGAAGAATTTACTTGTTTGTAAATGTAGTTCAAAAATCTATAGAAGTAAGAAGCCATTTTGCATTTGCTTGTAAGACATGATGTACTGTAGATTGTTATCATGGTATATATTTTAGAAGAAAATTTCTTTTTGTGGGCTTGTTTAATCATTGAGAGCCAAGCATCCATTTCATAGAAGTTGAATAGAATACAAGTCATGTTTATTATGATTCTGAAGGCTGCACCAGCAATC